CGCCTCACCTCACACAGCCATAAGAAGGAACACAACTAACCTCAAAACAAAAAACAACCAGAACTGCCAGAAAACTGAACTGTATGGAAGTCTGACAACCAAGGATTTAAAAAAGAAATATTCGTCCAGACAGGTGCGGCGGGGGGGGGGGGGCAGACATGGGGAGGACATGATGTGGCGGTGGCCAGTGGAATGGGTGGTCCCACATTCATTTGTGGCAGATAAAAAACAGGAGGGATGCCTAGGGAGCAAGTGATCCCAGCCCCAGGCCAGGCTGCACAGTCCAGGGTTCCAGCTCCAGGAAAATAAAGCCTCATAACTTCTGGTTGTAAAAACCAGTAGGGGTTGGGGTGGCAGAAGAAACTGCCAGTCTCTCAGGAGAGTCCATTTATAGGACCCACATGATCCTAGAATGTATGCAGATCCACCCACTCTGGGATTCAGAACCAGGGCAGCAGCTAGAAGGGCACTAGTAACATACAGAAAATGGGGAAAGTGACTAGAAATGGGGTGAGAGTCGAGCAAGCAGCATTGTTCCCTCTCTGACACTTCCCCCACATCAGTGCCAAAAAGTGGGGAAACAGCTTGCCCCACCCTGTTGAATATGTAAGGCTCCACCCCTTACAACATAACAGGTGCACCAAAATGGAGTCAAAGCGGCTCTGCATAGCACACAAACAAAAACAGGGAGGCTGCCAAATTGAGGAGACAAAAATGGCCCAAATGAAAGAACAGGTTAAAACTCCAGAAAAAGAACTAAATGAAATGGAGATAGCCAGCCTATCAGATACAGAGTTCAAAACACTGGTGATAAAGATGCTCAGAGAACTCAAATGCATAAGGGAAGAAAGGAAAGCTACACTAAGTGAAATAAAGAAAAACCCACAGGGAACCAACATGAAGGGAAGGAAGCAAGGATTCAAATCAACAATTTGGAACATAAGGAAGAAATAAACAGTCAACCAGTTCAGAATGAAGAAACAAGAATCAAAACAAAAACAGAAACAACAACTTAAAAACAACAACAATGAGGAGAGAATAAGAAGACTCTGGGATATCTCCAAATGTGCCAATATCCAAATCATAGGGATACCAGAAGGAGAAGAGAAAGAGCAAGAAATTGAAAACTTATTTGAAAAAATAATGAAAGAAAACTTCCCTAATTTGGTGAAGGAAATAAACATACAAGTTCAGGAAGCACAGAAAGTCCCAAACAAGTTGGACCCAAAGAGGGCCACACCAAGACACATCATAATTAAAATGCCAAAGATTAAAGATAAAGAGAGAATCTTAAAAGCAGCAAGAGAAAAGAAGAGGGTTACCCACGAAGGAGTTGCCATAAAACTATCAGTTGATACCTCAAAAGAAACTTTGCAGGCAAGAAGGAACTGGTAAGAAGTATTCAAAGTGATGAAAAGCAAGGACCTACAACCAAGATTACTCTATCCATAAAAGCTATAATTAAAAATGGAAGGGCAGATAAAGTACTTCCCAGACAAGGTAAAGCTAAAGGAGTCGCCAAGACCTTATATGAATTGTTAAAGGGACATATTTAAGAAAAAGAAGATCAAAACTATGAACATTAAAATGACAACAAACTATTAACAACTGAATCTAAAAGACGAAAACAAAAACAAACTAAGCAAACAACTAGAACAGGAACAGAATCATAGAATGGAGATCACATGGAAGGTCATCAGTGGGGAGGGGGAAGAGGGAGAATGGGGAAAAACATACAGGGGTTAAGAAGCACAGTTGGGCCCTGGCCAGTGTGGCTCAGTGGATTGAGTGCCAGCCTGTCAACCAACAGGGTCACTGGTTCAATTCCCAGTCAGGGTACATGCCTGGGTTGCTGACCAGGTCCCCAGTAGGGGGCGCATGAGAGGCAACTGCACATTGCTGTTCTCTCTCTCTCTTTCTCCTTCCCCTTGCTCTAAAAATAAATAAACAAATAAATCTTTAAAAAAAATAAGCATAATTGGTAGGTACAAAATAGATGGGAGGATGTTAAGAATAGTATAGGAAATGGAGAAGCCAAATAACTTACATGTACAACTCATGGACATGAACTAAGGGGGGATTGCTGAAGGGAAGGGGGCTACTAGGCAGAGGAGAGCAAAGGGGAAAAATTGGTACAACTGTAGTAGCATAGTCCATAAAATATACTTTTAAAAAAGTAGAAGAAGGGCTTAGAGCTCAGTGAGGGGAATTTGGGAGACCTGGAGGTGGGGACTGTCAGAGAACATTATGGTGTATATAGTCTCTGTAATGTAGGGCCAGGCTCATAGCAGGCATTCCAGAAAGTATCACCTGTGACATTGCCACCATGTTACCTTAGTTGGGCTAGTTCTAATAACACCTCCTCTTTCCCTCCACTGTTGTCAAGGATCTGGATCTGTGGCTTTGAGGCTGTATACATCTGGTCCCACATCTGGTGCTCTTGTTTTCATTACTTTCATTGCTTGTTCTGAGGCTCCTGGGTGGGAGACCAACCCCAGACCAACCCCAGCCCAACCCCAGCTCTACCCTGTCCTGATTCAGGCAGGGCCTGATACATATCAGACACTCAACCCACACATGCTGATTGAATAAAGTAGATATAAACAAGGTGATTGCAGTACTCTAGGTGAGGAGTGTCTGAGTTTTGGGCTGAGGAGATGGCATTGGAGATGGAGAAAAGGAGACATTTAAAATATATTTGAAAAGTATTGGGTTGACCAAAAAGTTGGTTTAGTTTTTTCCACCCAATGGCTCCAAGTAGTGCTTAGTTGTCTTTAACTTCATTCAAAACAATTTTGTTAGATTGTATTGTGACAGCTGTCACATCAGTGTGCACTTTAAAAAAAACACCAAAATTGGTGAATTTTTGTGCAGCCATTTTAATATTGAAGATGAAAGAAAATATACAACTTTTTCAGCATATCATGCTTTGTTCTTTCAAGAAAGGTAGAAACTCAACTGAAATGCAAAAAGAAATTTGTGTAGTATATGGAAAAGATGCTGTGACTGATTGAATGTGTCAAAAGTGGTTTGCGAAGTTTGTTGGTACTATTGACCCTTGGGCCAAATAATTCTTTGCTGTGGGACTATCTTATGCATTGGTAGATGATTAGCAACACCCCTGGCCTCTATCTATTAGATGCCAATAGTGGGAGATAGCCAACGTACTCAAAATACCCAAATCAATGAAGTTATTTGGTGAAAATGACAAATGTGTCTTTTTTATGGAAAAAACTAAATGGACTTTTTTGCCAACCCGATAGAAGGGACAGCAGTTGCTGATGAATGCTGTAATCTCTGGATTACCATAGTGAATTCTTCACTTCATGTTAACTTTGTATTGCTCAAAATGTCCAGGTAAAGAAGCAAGTTGCCTTTTTTTTTTGTAGACAGACACTAAGGTGTATCACCATTTATTTTGAAAGATAGTAGAAATTGGAGGAACTTCAAAGAGTTCATGGGATATCATATAAGTCAGTGACCAATCCACTAAAAAATGTTAGGGGATAAAGATTTGGAGAACTCAACTTAGTATGTAGGTGGGTAGTATTTTTACACATAATCCAGCTACTGCATAGTTCATCCTCTCTGACTTCAAGTTTCTGGCATTTCACAGATTCTCAGTAAATGATTGTTGAGTAGGTGGTGAATGCATGAATCTGTCAAAGCTTGGTAAGTATTTCGGAGACTGAAATTGCATAGTGAGCCAGATCCAACCAGGCCTAAGAATGAGTGGGAAACTTAACACTGCTTAGTTCATAGTTGTTTTTGCTAGCACCAAAAGGCCTCCAGTACAGAGATTGTTACATTGGATAAGAATGAAAAGAAGTGTTCTTACCTGTTGAGAGCCTTTGAACTTCTAGGCACCTCATGTACGTTATTTCAAATTCTCACACTAACCATATAGGGTAGATATAATCCACATTTTAGGGATGAGGAAATTAAAACTCAGTAATGTCAAAATACTTGACGACAAACTAGTGGCACTGGAATTCAAAATCATATTTGACTAACTTTACAGGCTCCCTGAAACTCATGTGTTATGGGCATGTCCTGAAAGTGAAGCCTGTAAGTGAGGGCATTTACAGTTAAAGAGGCCATGTATTGTATCATGAAGTGAAGTCAAGTAAATCTGCTAGTTTGGTGTAGTTGACAATTGTTACTATATTAAAACCTTTTAAATGAAAACAATGAGGGACAAACCACCATTTCATTCATTTGGTATTTATTGAGTGTTTTTTATGTGCAAGGTAGCATTGAAATACACACATAAAATATATGTCAGGCTCTGGCTGATGTGGCTTGGTGGATTGAGTGCCAGCCTGTGAACTGAAGGGTCACCGTTTTGATACTCTGTCAGGGCACGTGCCTGACTTGTGGGCCAGGTCTCTAGTTTGGTGCATGCGAAAGGCAACCAATTAATGTTCCTCTCACACATTGATGTTTCTCTCCCTTCCTTTTCCCTTCCCCTTTCTCTGAAAATAAATAAATAAAATCTTTAAAAAAATATGCTAGATGCCACCTCTGACCTTATGGAGCTTACCATCTAGAGGAAAGGTTAAAGTCACTGCCTATCCCCACACACAGCGTAACCAAATGCATGATTTGAGGTATTTACAATAGAATTTTGCAATATTTTTAAAAGAAGGCTTTCCCCCCCACCCAATATTTAAATCTACAAATGTCCCATTGAATTATCTCTCATCTGAAACTCTACATTTGCAGGGTACCCTAAAATTATAAATTACACACTTTCTGGATAATGAATTAAAAATTGAAACTAACCTATATCATTTGAAATTATAACAGGGCATTTGAAACATGTTTTTTACAGGTGGAAACTGTATTAACTTACATTTCACAGTTGTAATAAAACCTTTTCCCAAAGAATCAGTAAACTATCTGGTACTTTTCTAAATTTTTTATTCTTGGAGTTTTTTGTGCTTTATTTCATTAATTTATGTATCTAAATTATATTTTTTTAAAATGCAGATAAAAGAATGGCAGACTTCTTTGCATCGAAGAACTTCACTGCACTTTCAGATCTGCATCCAAATATGGCAAATCTGGTAGGCTTCAATGATGTAGTGGTTTGGCTGTTCTATAATGAAATTTTCTGTGGTAATATTACATTACATCAACATTGATTCTTTTGATACATGTTTATGTAATTGACAAATATATAGGTTCTCCTGGCATTTGTATAATAGTTTTATATTAAGTACCCCTAAGTGTCTTTATATTTATGCCAGCTAAATGAAAATTAGTCTTTCCTTTCTCTACAGAGGAAGAGATTGTAGATATGACTAGTGATTGTTCAAACTGATCCAAAGTCTATCTGTATTATTTTAATTAAATATTTAATAATCACTCAAGTTTATCATTGTAAACTTAAAACTTTTTTTGTTCAGCAGTATCTATTCTCTAATCAAACTATCCAAGTTATAGACTTAAATACTCGTAATTATGCTACTTTTATGACACAAAGGGATACAACAAGTGGATTTCTGAAATGATTATGTGAAAACTCATTTTAAGGAAAAGGGTTGTGGGGGCATTCAATCATTTCATTCTTACTTATTTAAAAGAAATCTGCGTAGAATCATTTTATAAGGTGAAGAACTTATTGTAAAGCACTTATCATAGTCTCTTACTTTCCTGCTTCTGAGCAATCTGCTATTTACATTTGGTATTTGCAAATCAGATTTCTTAAAATAGGATAAATTTACACGTAACTATAATAGTTTATTATTAAAGGTTTATTAATGTTAAAAATAATTATTGCTGTTATAGTTTTTCTTGAACAGCAAATTATTGCTGATTACCTCGTCAGTAAGAAAGTTTTATTCAATATTTTCATTAGTTGTGTTTTTTCCAACAAAATTCAGTAAGATCTGCAAGCATATGGAATTTAAGAAATAACAACAGTGTGTCTAAATGTAATAACGCTAGCTAATAGCTAGGATATGACAGTCTTAAAAACTTGAATGTATTTTAAATGTAACAGATTGTTATAAGGTTAAATCAGTTGCTAAATTAATAAATTTAAGTTTATTCTTTCAGAAAAAGGTAATTATTTTTACTTCTCAAAGCACTTTTTAACATTTAATTTTTATTTGGTAGCCACTAAAGAGAACATTAAAATTTTTGATATGTTAGTATCTTTACTAACTCTCATAGTTTATTTTTTCCTTTGACAAAAAAATACTAACTCTCATAGAAAAGTACCAGATAGTTTACTGATTCTTTGGGAAAAGGTTTTATTACAACTGTGAAATGTAAGTTAATACAGTTTCCACCTGTAAAAAACATGTTTCAAATGCCCTGTTATAATTTCAAATGATATAGGTTAGTTTCAATTTTTAATTCATTATCCAGAAAGTGTGTAATTTATAATTTTAGGGTACCCTGCAAATGTAGAGTTTCAGATGAGAGATAATTCAATGGGACATTTGTAGATTTAAATATTGGGTGGGGGGGAAAGCCTTCTTTTAAAAATATTGCAAAATTCTATTGTAAATACCTCAAATCATAGTGTATGAGAGAGTTTAAGATCTAGGACTTTAGAGCTTAAATTTATTAGCAGTAATGTACAAGTTCTTTGCAATTTAATTTACGTTACTGTCCAGCATGTTTGGATTAAGAAGCTAAGGAATTTTATGTGGATTGTTAGAAAATCCTATATAAATGAAGGCTTTGAAGACTGTGGCAAATTAAATTGCATTATACACATGCTTTGAATAAATTCAGTGAGGGTTAGTATAATAGGGCAGTTATTGTGCTTTATCTCTTGATTGAAAATAAAGTAGAAACATATAAAGTAGTAAGTGATTATATTTGTAATAGCAGTTTACTGTCTTATTACTTTATACTATTCTTTGTGGAATTGATGATTTATGAAGTTATTTTAGATGTTTGGAATAAATACATTTAAATAGTTCCTTGTCAAAAATGTTTGTGAGAATCAGTAAAATATAAAGGGACAAGTTCATGAAATTAAATTTATCATCTATATCTGTGTTTAATATGTCTTCTATAACCTTTTTGTTTTTTCAGAAAATAATTGGTATAGTTATTGGGAAAACAGATGTCAAAGGCTTTCCAGACAGAAAAAGCTGAGTTCCATTTAACTCTTTGCTTCATTGACTACAACAAAGTATATTTAAGTGATTAAATTTTTTCATGCTGTTTTAAATGCTGAAGAACAATGGCCATGTTCTCTGTTGCATGGTAAAGTACTCAATTTAAGGCTATATGTGTGAGGACATTAAAATTGTTTTAATGATTTTATTTGATGTTTCTCAAACAATTTTAAAAGCTCGTATGTAAAATGCCAAAATAGCTAGTTAACTTTGTTAACTCATTAATGTGTATCAAAGTGTATTTATTGAGTACCTCTACTGTGTAAGCCCTGCATAAAGAAAACAGAGGGCAATTGTATGTAGTCTTGTATCATTTCAGATATCATAGTGTATGAGAGTGTGGATTTACAGCTAGATTGACTGAGCTCACTTAGTCACTAAGTGATCTGAAATTTGTCCTCACTTAGTCACTGAGTGATATGAAATCTGTCCTAGGTACAGCTATGAATTCAGGAAAAGTAGAGGTTGTGTGAGAATTAAATGACCTGTAGTAAGAACTCCATGTTAACTGTTACTTTCAGCCTAAGAGATACAGGTACACAGGTAAAACTCAAGACAGTGCTAAGGAGGAAGTTTTTTTGTTTTTTGTTTTTTTTTTAAATTTTATTTTAATTTATTTTTTCAAATACATTTGTCTCTGCCTCCCCCCCCCCCACCCCGTACCACTTTCCCTTGCCCCCTCCCTCCTTCCCTCCCTCAGCTCTTCCCCTTTGGTTTTGTCCATGAGTCCTTGCTATATGTTCCTTGACTTTCCCCTTCCCTTCCTTTTTCCCACCCCCCCGCTTCCCTCTTGTCTCTGTTGATTTCTTTAGGAGGAAGGTTTTTGAGCATGGATATGTCATGGTAGTGTAGTGTTAAGGGAAAGAGATATGGCAAGTATTTACTCAAAAAAACCAGGCAATTCAGTGAAAAAAATTTATCTTTTGTCTGTGGAAAATACAGTTATTTTTGGCTTTATTGGTTCTTAATGAGTTGCTTGAACTGCGTAAGAGTTTTAAGACTGTGGAAACATAATCCAAAACTAAAATTGAATTTTCAAAATCAACTCACCTTCAAACTGTTGTAGTTAACATGCAAAGATACAAGACAGAATGTCAAATCTAGCAAATTACTACTATTAGCTTTAAAAGTGTCAAAGGTGTTTATTGAAGGTTACAGTGTAAGTGCTTTTATACAGCTTGACGGAACCAGAGCTCTCGTTAGCCATCCAATAATTTTGGCAGAGGAAAATGAATCCTCTGAGTATTTGTGACTGTATTATTTGACTCATGGTATAGTTACAGGTACCTCTATTTTTATTTTGTTTCATGTAATATTCTGTTATTATTTTTGAGGTAAATAACAAAGGTGTCATCTCCCACCCATATTCACTCATTTGTCTTTTATATATTTTAAATATTTAAATCTAATATTTAAAATAAATATTTAAATATTCAAATATCAGACTAATTATCATTAGTTCAGAAATACCATTTGAATAATTTGAGGTCAATGTGTCTGTTTTCTAAACTCTAAAAAGGATAACTTAAATAGATGAATTAACAAAAAGAGACCCTGAATATCCACAGCAATCTTGAGAAAGAAGAACAAAGTTGGAGGGATCACAACACCTGATATCAAGCTATACTACAAGTCCACTGTAATCAAAACAGGCTGATACTGGCATAAAAACAGACATGTAGATCAATGGAACAGAATAGAGAACCCAGAAATAAACCCATGTCTCTGTGGTAAATTAATATTTAACGGGGTGGGGGCATGAACATATAATGGAGTAAAAATAGCCTCTTCAATAAATGATGTTAGGAGAACTGTAATGGTACACTGCAAAGAAATGAAACTAGACCACCAACTTATGCCACACACCAGAATAAACACAAAATGGATAAAAGACTTAAATATAAGTCATGATACCATAAAAGTCCTTGAGGAAAACAGGCAGTAAAATTTCAGATATCCCACATAGCAATATTTTTGATGATATATCGGCTAGGGCAAGAGAAATAAAGGAAAAAATAAACAAATGGGACTACATCAAATTAAAATGCTTCTGCATGGCTCAAGAAACAATCATCAAAATGAAAGGGAACTGACTGCTTGGGAGAACATACTTGCCAATGATACATAGGACAAGAGTTTAATCTTCAAAATAAATAAAGAAATCACATAACTCTACACCAGGAAGACAAACAAGCCAATCAAAAAATGGGCAGAGGAACTGAATAGATACCTCTCCAATGATGACATAGAGATAACCCATAGGCATATGAAAAAATGCTCAGCATCACTAGCCATCAGAGAGTTGCAAATTAAAACCACAATGAGACATTACCTCACACCTGTCAAAATGGTCATCATTAATAAATCAACAAACAACAAGTGTTGGTAAGGATGTGGAGAATAGGGAACATTACTGCATTGTTGGTGGGAATGCAGACTGGTGCAGCCACTGTGGAAAACAGTATGGAATTTCCTAAAAAAATTAAAAATGGAACTGCCTTATGACCCAGCAATTCCACTATTGGGAATATACGCTAAGAATCCCAAAACACCAATTCAAAAGAACTTATGCACCCCGATGTATATAGTGGCACTATTTATAATAACCAAATGTTGGAAACAGTCTAAGTGCCCATCAGTAGATAAATGGATTAAAAAACTGTGGTTCACCTACATGATGGAATACTATGCAGCAGAAAGAAAGAAAAAGGAATGCCTACCTTTTGCAACAGCATGTATGGAACCGGAGACTATTATACTAAGTGAAATAAGCCAACTGGTGAAAGAAAAATACCATATGATATCACTTAAAAAAGAATCTAATGAACAAAATAAACTAATGGACAAAACAACCAGAGATGTGGAAACAGGGAACAGACTGACAGCTGCCAGAGGAAAGCGGAGAGAGGAGTAGTTAAAGAACATGTTTGAATGGCCCATGGACATGGACAATGGCAGGGATGGACTGTGGGAATAGGGATGGGGTAGGATGGAGGAGAGCAAAAGGGGAAAGATGGGGACAACTGTAATAGAATAAACAAGAATAAAATTTAAAAATACATGAATTAGGAAAAAAGTCATTTATTTATTTATTTTAAAGATTTTATTTATTTATTTTTAGAGAGGGGGAAGGGAGGGAGAAAGAAAGGGAGAGAAACATCAGTGTGTAGTTGCCTCTCATGTACCCCTTACTGGGGGCCTGGCCCACAACCCGGACATGTGTGCTGACTGGGAATCGAACTGGCAACCTTTTGGTTCACAGGCCAGCACTCAATCCACTGAGCCACACCAGCGAGTGCCAAAAGTCAATATTTAAATATTAGCTAAAATTACAGCAATGAAATAACATTTTCACCTATCAGACTGTGAGAGAAGGGGACCACTTCTGTAGTGTTTGATTATTTTTTATGATTATATATACAACATTCCTTTTTTGGAGAAAATGTGCTTCTTATTTGTTATTTTTAAAAATCACACATATACAATACCCATCTAACTGTAAACCTATAAAGGGTGAATTTTACTATTAAAATCACATATACATATAAAATATAATTAATATATTTTCATTAAAATTCAAGCAGTACAGGTCTAAAGTTGAAAAGTAAAATTCTTCATTTAACATTCAACTCTTCCCATCCCAGTTCCTACTCTAAAAACACTAATTACAGTTTGGTAGATATCTATAATTTATATATGTATGTTAGGCTGTTACTTATTTAAAATTCTATTTAATTGATTGTGCTATTACATTCGTCCCAAATTTCCCCCTTTGCTTTCCTCCACCCAGCACTCCCGACTCCCTCAGGCAATCCCCATACCATTGTTCATGTCCATGGATCATGAGTAGGCTCTTTGGCTACTCCATTTCCTATACTGTATTTTAAATCCCCATGGCTATTCTGTAACTACCTATTTGTACTTCTTAATCCCCTCATCTCTTCACCCCTTCCTCCATAAACCCCTCAAATCTGGCAACCATCAAAATGCTCTCCATATCCATGATTATGTCTCTGTTCTTCCTGTTTGCTTAGTTTTTTTTAGATTCAATTGTTGATATATATGTATTTATTGCCATATTATTGTTCATAATTTTGATCTTTTTCTTAAATAGGTCCCTTTAACATTTCATATAATAATGGTTTGGAGATGATGAATTCCTTTAGTTTTTTCTTGTCTGGGAAGCTCTTTATCTGCCCTTTGCTTCTAAATATCTTTGCTGGGTAGAGCAATCTTGACTTTAAAAATTTGTTGCCAATCCATTCTAGCCTGCAAAGTTTCTTTTGAGAAATCAGCTGATAGTTTTATGGGAATTCCCCTGTAGGAAACTAGCCTCTTTTTTTCTTGCTGCTTTTAAGATTCTCTCTTTCTCTTTAACATTTGGCATTTTAATTATGATGTGTCTTGGAGTGGGCCTCTTTGCATGTATCTTTTTTGGGACTCTCTGTGTTTCCTGGACTTGCACATCTATTTCCTTCACCAAATTAGGGAAGTTTTCTTTAATTATTTTTTCAGATAGATTTCCAATTTCTTGCTCTTTCTCCTTTCCTTCTGGCACCCCTATGATGTGAATGTTGGATCCCTTGAAGTTGTCCCAGAGTCTGCTTACACTATCCTAGTTTTTTTTTAAATTCTTTTTCTTCTTGTTCTGATTGGCTGGGGGGTTTTTCTGTTTTGTTTGGGTTTTGGTTTTTTTTTGTTTGTTTTTTTTGCTTTCTTATGTTCCAAATCATTGATTTGATTCTTGGCTTCATCCACTTTACTGTGGTTTCCCTATAAATTGTTCTTTATTTCAATTAGTGTATCCTTTGTTTCTGGCTGGATCTTTTTTATGCTGTTGAAGTCTTCACTAAGTTCCTTGAGCATCTTATAACCAGTGTTTTGATCTCTGCATATGATTGATTGCTTATCTCCATTTTGTTTAGTTCTTTTTCTGGAGTTTTAATCTGTTCTTTCATTTGGGCTGTGTTTCTTTGTCTCCTCAATTAGCAGCCTTCCCTTGTTTGTGTCTATTTATTAGGTAGAGCTGCTTTGACTCTGTGTCTTGGTAGTGTGGTCTAATGTAGTCAGTGTCCTGTAGGGTCCAGTGGCACAGCCTCCCTTATCGCCCAAGCTGGATACTCAGGGTGTGCCCTTTGTATGGGCTGAGTATACCCTCCTCTTGTAGTTCAGCCTTGGTTGCTGTTGGCAGGTCAATGGGAGGGATTTATCCAGGCCAGTCAGCTGCATGGACTGGCTGTGATGACTGACCACCAACCTCCACCATCCATGAAGGATCCGCTGTGCAGGGGTAGGGTAGTGATGTTCTGATGTGGTCTGTAGCTGTCCACTGGGTGTGCAGTGTCTGGGGTTTCCCAGATGGTGCAGGCCATTGTCAGCCTTCACCTGTGTTTTACCCAGGGCATTCTGCCTGAGTTGTAAAGCAATCTGAGATGGCTGCTACTTGTGCTGGGCTTGGAGATTCCTTGGCAAAATCAAGCTGTGAATCTAGGCTGGCTGCTGCTAGTGCCAGGCCTGGGGCCACTTAGTAAGAGGTACAGGGTCTGGGGGCTCACTGAGGCCAGCTGCTGCTTGTTTGATAGGATTTAGGAAGTTATGATCCTTGAGAGAAGACCAGCCATTCATATGGAAAAGCAGCTTGGGTGGGAGTGTAAGTTGGGTGGGGCGGGGTCTCTGAGGATCTCCAAGGCAGAGCAAATAGTGTTAGCCAGGTTGATACAATCTCAGATTGGCACCACCCTGCCAGCACTGTGGCTTTGTGGTGGGAGGGTTTAGAAAAAGGATAATGGCTTCTACCTACCTTCCTCTCTGGGAAAAAGCTGTCCCCCAGCTCTCATCTTGATGCCAAACACTTCAGTTTCTCCCTGAATGCCACTGGTGCCTTTCAAGCTGCTACCCTGGTGCTGAAGCTCAGAAGGAGTGAGTCTGATTAAGTCTGTATGTGGGCTCTTTATGCGGAACTGCTTAGGACTCCAGAAGTTTCTTCCACCAACTCAATCTCCACTGGTTTTTGCAGCGAGGAGTTATGGGGACTTATCTTCCTGGCACTGGAACCCTGGGCTGGGGGGTCTGGTGTGGGGCTGGGACTCCTCTTTCCTGAGATATCCCTCCCAAATTTTATCCACCACACATGGATGTGGGACCAGCTTTTTCCATGTCTGCACCCCTCCTACCAGTCTGTATGGATGTGGTTTCTCTAATTTCTTAACTGTTAGACTTCCATTCACCTGGATTTCTGACAGTTCCGAGTGATGATTGTCCTATATTTTAGTTGTAATTTTGATGTGGTTTTGTGAGGAAGCGAGCTGTATTTACCTGTGTCTCCATCTTGACCAGAAGTACCTGTGTCACCTTTTTAATTAGCAAAAACAACAAAGAAATTTTATTTGGAAAAATATGTGCTTGCTGACCTCTAGTGGCTATTTGGTAGCACATGCTTATTTGTTTTCAAATAATTTAGATCTGAATTTGACTTAGGTTAAGACAGTAACAGTAAGAGAGAAATGGAGACTCTAAGCTAACATCTGGATGGTTCAAGCCTAAATGTCATTTTCTTCCAAATATACAGGTAACTGGGGAAAGAGGACTGAGGGGGTAATAGTGAGAGGATTATCTACTTGGGCAGCTTTGAAATCCATAAAAGCAAACATAACTTATTATAGATCTTTTATCTGAAATAGTATTTTATGCCATGTTTTTGAATATTTTTATAATATTTGTTCAGAAGTATGATAAAAATTTCACTTGAATAATAAAAGCATTGTTTTTCCTTTAGATATTGGATCAGAAAGGTACACTTTCAGTTTCACCATTCGTGACTCACCAACCCATTTTGTAAATGCAACATCATGGGGCAACGAAAATTATATCAGATCACTTTCTGACAGCTTTCGGGTTGGTGAGTGTGGTAAGTTGGCATTGATTCTTAAACTGTTGTTATTATAATATTATTCCTTTGGTATATTTGTGGTGACTACACTGAGGGAGTCAAAATGCAATGTAGTAGTCCCCCTTATACACAGTGGATAAGTTACAAGACTCACAGTGGATGGATGCCTGAAACTGCAGATAGTACCAAACCATATTTTATATGTATGTTTGTATGTGTGCATGAGTGTGTGTATACACACATACACAATTATACACACACACATATATAGTGTTTTTTTCTATACACATGGACCTATGATAAAATTTAATTTATAAATTAGGCACAGTAAGATATAACAATAACTAATAAAGTAGAACAATTATAAAAATATATTATAATAAAATTTATATGAATGTGGTCTCTTTCTCTCAGAATATCTGGTAACTGCTCTGATAAATGAGACAACAACTCAGTGACTAATAGGTGGTGAGAGTGTACAGCCTGGATATACTGGCTAAAGGGATGATTCACATTTCAGGAGGGATGGAAAGGGGTGGCTCGAGAGTTCATCATGCTACACAGAACATCACACATTTTAAAATTTATGAATTGTTTATTTCTGGAATTTTTCATTTAATATTTTTGGACCGTGGTTGACTGCAGGTAACTGAAACTGTGGAAAGTGAAACCATGGATAAGGGGGACTACTGTAAGACATAATTCTCAAGAACCTTATCAGAAAAAAGTAAAAATTCAACAGCATAGTACAAGACATTCAGCATTATTACTTGATACATACAACATGATAGTCACATGTTTTTACTAGGTAGCTTTATATCTTTGGCTTATTTCATATTTCAGTTTATATCAATCTCTATTGTTGCTATAATCATTTAACATAATAGGGCTGCTAAATAGATTTTGATAAAAGCTGATATTTGAATTTTAATGGATTTTAAGAAACTCTACTTTTATTCTAAAATACCAAATCTTTTGCATTCTCTCCCCACACCGATATCCCTCTGAAGTACAGTGTAGTATAACAAAAAGAACAAGGATTTTGAAAGAAGGTAGATCCTAATTCCAATATTTATTCACAAGGTGGCTTTGAGAAAATTTCTCAGTCTTCTTGGGCTTCAACTACAAATTAATTCCCTACAAATTAATTCACTATAGATTCTAGTGAATGTTAAACAAGATAGTGTGTCTGGCATAAAGTATAGAACTTAGCTCAGGCTGGTGTGGCTCAGTGGATTGCGTGCTGGACCGTGAACCAAAAGGTCACAGATTCAATTCTCAGTCAGGACACATGCCTGAGTTGCAGGCCAGGTGCCCAGTGGGCATCGATGTTTCTCTCCCTCTCTTTCTCTTCTCCCTCCCCCTCTCTAAAAATAAATAAGTAAAGATCTAAGGAAAATTATTTTTAAAAAATGTAGGACTTAGTCACTCAATAGATGACATATCTAGCCTCATGCCAGAAACAAAAAAGCACATATACCAGCTTTCTATCATGGTAGATAAAAGAAGGTAAAGAATAATACAGGTAATCAAACTACTCCTCTCCAATACTGCAGTAAGAAGCATCTTATTACCCATGGCAGTTATTTAGCGCCTACTCATAGGCTTGGATTATTAACTTTCAGAGTTAGTATCTTTCCAACTGAATAATGAAGTAATTGAACATATGAACTTGAAGGCAGAAAACTTTGCAGACTTTACAGGACCTAGTACAGTTAGAAACATTCCTTGGATGAATGCCAACATTAGTTATATAGAGCTAAAAATATATTTTGGTATTAAAATATGTTATATGCTGATGGTGGTTGTGAGGATGATTAGGATGGCCATTTTAAAAATGTAAAGTTGATAATTATAAATCTAAATTGGACTTCAGTGTGGTAGAGTGAAAAAGATTACAGAATTTTAAATCAGAACAATTCTAATTACAGCTCTACTACTTTCTAGATATAAAATCTCAAGAAAGTTGTTTAACCTCTGTGAGCTTCAATTTTTCATTTGTCAAAAAGAAATGATTGTGTGAGTAATTAGTAAAATAGAGCACAAACATGTCTAACATAGACATAAGGAAATGGAAACCCTGAAATGTTAATTCATAAGCTTATTAAGTTGTAGAACTCAAGTCAGGACCCAGATATGCATTGCTCTTTCTACCCTACCACCATTATTTTCTGAGGGCAACTGTGAATTGGGTGGAGATAAATCCAGTATTTATAATAGGGCATGTTGTAATCAAATCAAATAGAGATGGGCATCTTGTAATCAAGCGAAATGTTCAGTGTACCTAATCAATAAAATAATATTAAGGTCGGTTACATGTTGGGATTTAAACACGAAACATAAATAAAAAATGTCATCTGGGATCAAATTTATGGTCATACTCCAGGATTTTGTTTCTCATACTGACACAAAATGATTGGGAAGGATATATAACACTAACTCAGAAATTAGAAAGAACATTTATTTATCCTATTACTTTTTTGTAATAACATCATACTTTTCCCTCTGTTTTAGTGATAATTGAAAATCCCCTGATCCAAAGAAAGGAATTAGAAAGAGAAGAAAAATTCAGCCCTGCAACTCCTAGGTAAACATCTAGCACAGAGATCAACAAGCTTTGTGCTAAAATGATCATTACTAATAAGCTTTTGTGTGTCAAATTAGCAGAGAGCTTACTAAGGGTGTATACTTCAGTTTGAAAATTAGGGCTTTAATTCTTCCTCACAATGTTTATTTTTGATTATGAGATAATTTATTTTGATATAGGATCATATAAAAATGGCTTTGTTTTTAGTGATTCTTATTCTTAAATTTACAAAAATTTGACTCCAGTCATATTAAAACTGAATAATGAAAAGAAAAGATAAATATTGAAATTCACATACCTATATTTTTATATCAAGGTATAACTTTCCTTACATGCCTTACTACATTGGTTCAGGTTATGTGGAAGCAGAGCCTGGAGGAGGACTTTTGGGCAGATGGTTTCTTGAAGGTGAGCTCTCAGGAGCAACCTGTAAGGATAGGTGGAGAATGGGGTGGGCGGGGAGGGGGTGCAGGGAGCTGAGCAAAGAGGTAGGTTCATCTGGAGCTCAGTCTCAGCCTGGTTCATTTGCTCCTTCTCTTCTTTGAAGTGTCAGGTTGAATGTCACCTCCTTAAACCTTTCCCATCTACTCAGCCTGTAGTAGCTCTTCCAGTTAATTACTAGGATTCACCCTGTGCTGTTTCTTACCATCACAACCCCAATTGCTGTTTTGGATTATTCAATTAATTGTCTTGTCTCCTTACACATGTGAACTTCATGAGATTCAAGGTGTTATCTGTCTTCTTCAACACTGTGTCCTCCAGGCCTAGGACTTAGTCACTCAATAGAATCGGCTCTCAGTAAATATTTATGGAATGAATCAATAACTGGATGAATGAGTAGAGGGAAGGGCATTCTTGGAAGGGGGACAAAGATGAAACCTCCTGGCCTTACCAGTAAATAGTAGGTTGAACCATATTAAACTGATGATGTTTGACTATTATTTTTGTCTAAAAATATCAGTTTCATAGCTAGTACTCTGATATGACTGATACAGGGCAAGGGCAGGGGAGCAGCAAGAGAGAAGCAAAAACATTTCACAGCTTTGCCCATTTGTACCAGCTTCATTCTTTGGTGATGGCTAACCTCTAAGGTCTTCAAGTTGGGACATAATATACTCATATTTGTGGGTTAGGAAGATCATTTTGGCTACCTTAGGAGGATACTGTAGGAGGCGACGCAGCAATATTTTGGGTGAGAAGTGATGTAAATACCTAAAGCAATAGTGGAGGAGGAGAGTGAGGAGGGCCTGCATCAGAGGACTTGAAATAAGCCTACAAAGGGGACATGAGAGTTGACTGGCTGGACAGGAAAGAGTGCCTCAATTCAAATTCAGTTGTTTAATATTGTGCATCCACTCCACACAGAGCACCGCAGGAGTAAGTGAAGCACAGTCCTTGATTTAAAGTCTGTTAGCAGGGTTGTCAGTATTATAGAGATAGCCATAACAAGCTGTCTCTTTATAGAGATAACAAACATGGCCTAGAGTTCTTTTATTCCTTTATTTTACAGAGAAGAGAACTGTGGCTCAGAGTCTTAAGTAAGGTCAAACAACTAGTATTCTTCGCACTCAGGCACAAATTGGTTCCCAAAACATTGTCTTAATGAAAATGTATTTTAGACAAAAAAAAATATTTTATTATATTTTTTCAATGTTTCAAAAAGTAAATTGTATAAATTTTCTTAATATAGTCTAAATATTTTAACTGTGAACCTAGAATATTTTTTTATTAAAAAGTCATTTGATATTAACTTTTTGTGTGTGTTTTTGCAATTCAGTGCCTGTAAACTATTGCTCAGTGAAGATCACTCAACAGTAAAAGTTTGTTCTAGTTATGAAGTGGACACCAAGTTGCTTTCTTTGATACACTTACCTGTTAAAGAATCTCGGGATTATTATTCATTGGGTGATATCGTTGCAAATGGACACAGTCTTGATGGGAGAATTATTAATGTGCTTGCAGCTGTGAGGTCGGTAAGTCAAAACCTCAAGAAAGCAAAGTTAAATTTGGTGGGGGAGTTCTATCACTTAATTTGTGTTTGGAAAGTAGTAACCAGCTGGAGTAAATATTTCTCTGCATCGTGATCTGTAGTCAGTTGAGTTAAGAAAATGGTACCACTTCTCATTAATGGGGAAGTAACATTTTATCTGTGAATGTATAGCAAAATAAAATCGTATTTGAATGTTAAAGGCAACACACATTCATAAATGATCCACTAACTATATGAGAGCCTTTCATACTTTGGTTAAACAAAGATGCAAATGGAAAGGGTAAATACATTGACTTGAAGATTTCCATGAAGTTACTTAAAGGGGTGTAAGTTGTATAAATCAAGGAATCAATTTTGTGCCTGTTCTCAGAGCTGTCCTGAGTTGGGGGAGGGAGTGAGAATACCCACTGTACTGTAGTAGGGGCCTGATGATCTGCACAGCATCATGTGGTGAAAAGCAGGGAAGGACAGCACTCCTTGGAGCTCTGGGGGTGTTCTACCATTTGTTGCATCAGCATCTCCCTCTTACTTAATTATTGCCCCAAGTTTTGAACTTTGGACAAACTAGAGGCACTTGGCAGGAACTAAGGGGTGGACCTCAAAATTAAAGTTTCACAAAATGAAGTACACAAAGAAAATTAAAGGGGCAAGACCAGTTCCTCAGTGTATGGAATGATGGTAGCCAAAGGGCAAAAAGGAAAGGAAATTGACTTAGGTACTTGTAGTTAATGTTATTAGTAATTGCTAATTGCTTTTCTGTATTAAATGACTGACCAGTAAGAATGTCAGCTATACCCAATGACAGGTCCTTGATGGCAGATGCATGTCTGCTTTGTTCATCTCTCTAGTTCCAGCCTCATACAGTGCCAGCCATATAGTGAGGACTCAGTATAATTGAGGGTGGAAGCACAAACACCCTATATAACAATCGTGAAAAATAGGGAGAAATCACTTTCTTGGTAATTTAGTATTTCTTACTTAAAGTCAGGATATGATCTGTCAATATCCCTGCAATCCTATATGATGTCATATTACAGTGTAGTAAAAATTTTCTAACACTTGGTATGAATATAAGCAAAAACCTGCAACAGCTCTTTCTATACCTCCCCTACCCCTGCCACTTCTACCCCATGAGTCTAGTACATTCTTCTACGGGGTTACATTACTTCTTTTTTTCACTGCCTTCTCCCATTTTTACTTCCATCCCTCTCACATTTCCTTTCTTCACATCTTTAGTTAACCTGCTCTCTCTTCCTTCTTACCTCTGCTTGGGTCGCTTTACTGAAAAACTCCTTTTTGTATAATTGTTTTGTGTGCTGTGGTATGGCAGGCCTCTCTCATACACAGGCTGTCCTTTCCTCCAACTTTCTTTCCAGATACTACTCTTGTGCTGGTAGCTCTGAGAGTTCCTTCAGCAACTTCCCATGGAGCTCAGCCCTGCCAATAGATGTAATGGTGACAGTGATATAGGGGGCAGCCACCTGATTGTCTGTGCTTGGGCTGTCGCTATGTGGTTGTCATAGGTGCCTGCTATTCCATGTGAGAATTCCATGTGTCCTATCGGGGGACAGATGGGCTCATGAGTTCACCTTCATTAATATGGTCCCCTTACCCTTCAGTGTGGATTGAATCAGACTATGTCAAAGCACTTTCCTACACGTCCCTCATTTTGTCCCTTATTCTTACAAAGGGACAAAAGAGGTATTGATATTTACACTTGCACTAGAAAGACGAGGACATTGGGGCTCAGAGAGACTGAGTTCATCCAGTTGTATGAACTCAGTGCCAGACTCTGTACTATCATGGGGATATACAGTTGTTGAAAATATACTTTCAACCTCAGTGAGTCCACATAAATACCACCCATGAGCTTGTCATGGAACATATGTTCTGATATGTTGAAAAGATCCCGCAGTCTTAAAATATGTATTTCTGTACTTTTCTTCAATCAAACATCAGCTAAAAATATATCTAGTTTAAGATAAAAGATTCTTTTGAGTCATCAAATATATATTAGTGATTCTTGAAGAAATATTTTGATATTTCTTATTTGGTGTTTAAAGGGTAAATATCTGAGTATTTCCATCAAAATATTTAGGTATGTCTACAACTATAGGTGAAGAATAACAATTTCCTTCAATTTTTAAGGTTGGAGAGCCAAAATACTTTACAACTTCAGACCGAAGAAAAGGCCAGAGGTGTGAAGTTAAACTCTATGATGAGATGGAGTCTTCTTTTGCCATGATATGGTAACCTCCCATATTTGTCCCAAACTGTGAAATCCCTGTTATTATCACCAAGACAGAACATTTTTATGTTATCAAAAAGATGATGGATTTAATATTAGGAGATGAGTAATGATAGGACAGAAATGATATTTAAAAAATAAACCTTGCTCTCTTGTATTTTGAATTGTTACAGACTCTGCTATAAGATTGCTTTAAAATGAGATCTTTAGGTGACATGGGGTTGACTAGATGAACTCACTGTAACTGCTGTATTATTGTATTCTATTGTATTCTTTTTTATTAAAAATGTGATTTATTAGGCCCCATTGATAGTGAACGTGCCAGGTTTTCCATGATTCCTTGAGTAGTACCCTGGAGGCAGGCCATGGAAAGATGATAGAAAAGCAAATGTTATCACCGGCTGGGTTCTGTGGTGCTCCTGGTGTGTCAGATGTGGGGCAGGGCTGCATTCTGAAGTACTGCGGGGTACTACATGGTATTATTTAGACTCCAGGGGCCTGGTGCCAAAGAAGGCACTTAATTTGAAATGAGCCTTCAATCTGTCAAATTCCCTGAAAGTGTATCCTTTGTGGGGGCCCTTGCTTAACAGTCTGAAAGAGTGACTTTAGTCTTTAGACTTGTCACTCAGCTTCAAGTAGCTTCAAGTGACCTGAGTGGTGGGAAAAGAAAGAACTGATGGGGCAGAAGTTGTTAGAGATTAATGGTATCGGAGGAATGATTGATCATGTAGATGCTAAATGCTCTGTGAAGCAGTGTAGCCCTGCAAAATGCATGAAAACCCAATATTTTTAACTTGTGTACTTGACCACATGGGGGATGGTTAACCCCAGCCCTTAAGACATTCTTTTTTTTTTTCAGTAAATAATGTTCACTGTCAGTTTTTTCTAATGTATTTCATTTTTATCACTTAAAAAATGTGCAGTTGGGATAATGAATCCATTCTACTTGCACAGAGCTGGATACCACGAGAAACAGGTATCATACTTCAATGATTGTGTTCAATATTTGTCATTTTTTTATCCCTTCATATAATAATTTTAAATGGATTTTTCCCCAAACAGTAATATTTGCCTCAGATGTCAGAATCACTTTTGACAGATTTCGGAACTGCATGACAGCAACTGTAATCTCAAAAACCATTATTACAACTAATCCAGGTAAAAGTTATTTGAATTTTTTATCCTTTTGGATGTGACTATATTAGATACTCCAATATTTGAGTATTTAAGAATGAAAACAAAGATTGGATTTTATTTGAATTAAAAATGAATGATTGTTGCCCTGGCTGGTGTGGCTCAGTGGATTGAGTGCTGGCCTGCAAACTGAAAGGTCACTGGTTTGATTCCCATGTATCTCTTGCACATCAATGTTTCTCTCCCTCTCTCTAAAAATAAATAGATAAATAAATAAAAATGAATGACTTTTTAAAATGTACCATAAGCTATATCTTTGATATCTTTACTAAAGAAACATGAAAAACCAGACTCATTTTTATTTTATTTTTTTAAAGATTTTATTTATTTTTAACTCTGACTGGTGTGGCTCAGAAGATTGAGCACCAGACTGTGAAACAAAGAGATACCAGTTCAATTCCCAGTCAGGGCACATGTCTGGGTTGTGGGCCAGGTCTCCAGTGGGGGAGGGGTACAAGAGGCAACCGCATATTAATGTTTCTCTCCCTCTCCTTCTCCCTCCCTTCCCCTCTCTCTAAAAATAAATAAAACCTTCTTAGAGAGAGGGGAAGGGAGGGAGAAGGAGAGGGAGAGAACCATTAATGTGAGAGAGAAACATAGATCAGTTGCATCTCGTATGTGCCCCAGCTGGGGACTGAACCCACATCCTAGACATATGCCCTGACTAGGAATCCAACAGGTGACCTTTCGTCCTACAGGATGATGCCCAACAAACTGAGACACACCAGTCAGGGCCAGACTCATTTTTAAAGCATCATCCCTTGTGATGATTTTTGAGAGACCAATGCTATAGATTAGAAAACCTAAATTATCGACTATTTAAAATAAATTCAGTTTTACTACATTTAAATAACAGTGCTAGAGCACTGAGAACATATATGTAGTATGTTCATAACTATAAATTATTAGTTCATGACTGTAATTAAATGTTTAGCAGACCCACTGGAGTGATTCTTGGGAAGAATTGTAGCTTATTCTAGCATGAAATCAGGGGAACAGGACCTGGAGAGATAGGGGATTGGTGTGTGTAAGATCTTCAAAGTGCTTTGTGGTGCAGAAAGAGGTTAGCCCAACATTAAAGAAGAGTGCAGAATTCCCAAAAATGGAATTATCCTCCAGTTTCAAGAAGATATAAATATAGTAGCTTGTCACTTTAAACATAACTCACTCTACTGGTCAATAACAAAGCACAAGAGTTACTGAGAACTGCCCTGCCTGGTGTGACTCAGTGGATTGAGTGCTGGCCTGTGAACAAAAGGGTCACTGGTTTGATTCCCAGTCAGGACACGTGCCTGGGTTGCAGGCTGGGTCCCCAGTTGGGGGCGTATGAGAGGCAACCACACATTGATGTCCTCTCCCTCTTTCTTCCTCCCTCCCCCCTCTCTAAAAATAAATAAATAAATAAATCTTAAAAAAGAGTTACCGAGAACTATAATTTTATATCTTTGACCAAACCATTATCAGAATTTTTAAAAGTAGAATTATTATGATATGTGATAAAATAACAAGACTGTTTTTTATGTAAGTACACTGGATCTTTATATTCACCACAGAATGCTGTCTCATTGAAAGCAGCATCACAGTAGGTGATGTGACACTCAGTGATTTGTTTTTTGTCGAACTCTCATCTACTGAGCACATGCTGTGTGCTGGGCACTGTTCTGGGGTCCAGTGACAAAACACAAAAAACTCCACTTTCATGGAGCTCACATTCTAACAGGGAGAGACAGATAATAAATAATAAAGGTAACATATGTGAATTATTAAATATTTAAGAAGAAAAAGAGGAGCAGAGTCAGGGGGGTCCAGAGTGCTATGGTATGGTGACTGTTTTCAGAGGATAGTCAGATAGCCTCATTGTGGGGGGTCAAAATTTGAGCAAATAAGTGGTGAGGCAGTAAGAGGTTTAACCACAGGAAAAAGTGCCAGGCAGAGGGAACAGCCAGTGCAAAGGCCCTGAGGCTGGAATATGCCTGCCTATGGGCAGAACAGCAAGGTAACCAGAGAGGCTGGAGCTGATAGAGTCGGGGCAGAAAAAGGAGTTGAGTTCAGAGAAGAAATGGTGGTGATCAAGAAGGCCTTTCAGGCTGTTAAAGGGATGCTGGCTTTTTACACTGTAGGAAAAGGAGGGATCAGGTCAGGATTTGGAGTAGAGCAGTGACAATATCTAAGTTCTAAAAGGATTGCTCTGGCTGCTTTGTGGTAAATTGATGGTGATACATCCATAGTCTATTCTTCAATTCCCCCCTTTTTTGAGGGGTGTACATACCATGGTTTATTATTTTTAATAATTTATTAATATAATATTTTATTAATTAATTTATTATTATTATCTTTAGTAACATCAGTGATGGAAAATTTCCACCTATTAAGGATTAATTCAGCCTGGGAAAGTATCTAAAAGACAATTGGGTTTGTCTTTTGAAAAAGGTTATCAAGCTTGAGAGGACTAATTGTATCAAGACTAAGTTAATGAGACAGATATTTGATGGATGTTGTACATTTGGCTCTGAAAACATTAAAATGCCAAAGTGTTTTTGAACAATGCCGTCATTAGAATAAATACCTGTTTCTCAAAGAGACAAATTTAAAGAAGAATACTTATAAGGGTGTATGAATGTCAATGTGCTTGGTTCTAATCAGTCTTATTTCTAATTTTCTACACCTGCCATGTAGAAAATAAAACTCCTAATGGTTAAAGCTTTCATACTAGCCACGATATCCAGGCTTCGTTTTTCTCTGCCCTGAGATGGATCATCAGATAAGGAAGACAGAATTTCTGACAGACCTGGGTAACCCTGTTGACAGTAGGGATCTTTATGGCAGTGCCTGCACCACACCCTTCCCATCAGCTTTCATCCCAGGAAGCACATTGGTTTGATTTCTGTGGCACCACTCCAGCATCTGCTTTCATCTGGTGTGCAGTAGTTCTCAGTGTTTTAAAAATATTCATTCATTCACACATTAATTTGTAAATGTTTATTGAATGCCTTTTATTTGCCAAATGCTAAGATAAATCCTTTTTGGAATAAGGCAAGATATGAGTGGATGGATAGTCAGATGAATGGAAAGATAGTCACTATAGGTACTGGTTACTGAGAATACAGAGATGAAAAGGAAGAACTGCTCACAAGGAATTTCATTCTAGTTCTGAGGAAGAACAGTGCTAAGACTTGTGGTGTTATGGGAGCAAGGGAGAAGAAACGCCTAACTGCCCTAGTTGGTTAAGGTCCAAGCATCCTCAGGATGATTGGTAGAATGTTGGAGTAGATGAGGGAGGTGCTGGAGCAGAGGTTAGGGTGTCAGAGTCACATGAGAGCCCTTTTTCAAAATCACATTCTTGCCTTCTGGCACCCCATCTGACTATTCCTGAGGATACTCACATCCCAAGTTAAGGAGCAAGACTTTCAAATAATCTTTTTTAAAAAATTATTCTTTACATGAAATTCAGAAAATAACATAAAATCATAAAAAGGAAAAAAGATCACTTATAATCTACCATCTTATGATGGAGAATCATTTCTTTAACATATATTCTTTGAGATAATTTTGCATATGTATGTGTGTATATATATATCTATATACTTTTTTAATCAAAAGGAAATTGTTCTGCATACTTTTGTAGGGTGCTCATTATACTAACAATAACTGGTATACATCTCCATGTTAGTAGAATGCTACTTCACATTGTTAATGTCTGCATAATATTCTGTTTGATTGCATTCTTTTAAGTCTTTAATTTTTACCATTAAAAATAATTTTGGATCATTCACAATTACTTAAAAAGTGATCAGTTTGATTTTTAATTATTATGCATTTTCAATTTAAGATACACCAGAAGCTAACATCTTATTGAATTTTATAAGAGAAAATAAAGAAACAAATCTTCTGGATGATGAAATTAACAGCTACTTGAAAGAATCCATAAATCGTAAGTGACCTTTAAATATTATTTTAATTTTTTAATTTACTATTTTATTGTTCAAATACAGTTGTCCCCATTTTCTCACCACCACTTTGCCCTGCCCCACCCATCCTCATCTCCCACGAAATATTGTTTGAATTTTTAAAAGGCCAGCATTGGGGCCTGTGAAGTTTTGTTTTACATAATGAAAGATACCATATTCTTATTCTGTAACTGCTATATTTCCACATTTAAAAGTAGTTTAAAGCTTTTGGAGCTTCTCTATAACCTTTTATCAATCTGAGGACAGCTAAAAAATTAAATTGACTTTTTTTCTCATTGATTTTTTTGGTTTTTTTTTTAAATTATATTTTATTGATTAAACTATTACCATTGTCCCAATTTTTTCCCCATTGGCCTCCCTCCACCTAGCACTCCCCACTCCCTCAGGCAGTCCCCATACCTTTATTTATATCCATGGGTCATACATGTAAGTCCTTTGGCTTCTCCATTTCCTGTACTGTACTTTACACCCCCATGACTATTCTACAACTAACAATTTGTGCTTTTTAATCCCTTCACCTTTGCACCTATTCCCCCAATACCCTCTCCTATCTGGCTGCCATTAACCTGTTCTCTGTATCTATGAATCTATTTCTGTTCTACTTATTTGCTTAGTTTGTTTTTAGATTCAATTGTTGATAGATATGTATTTATTGCCATTTTATTGTTCATAGTTTTGATCTTCTTCTTTTTCTTAAATAAATCCCTTTAACATTTCATATAATAATGATTTGGCGACGATTAAGTCCTTTAGCTTTTTCTTGTCTGGGAAACTCTCTCTGCCCTTTGATTCTAAATGATAGCTTTGCCAGATAGAGTAATCTAGATGGTAGGTCCTTGCTTTTCATCACTTTGAATATTCCTTGCCAATCCCTTCTAGTCTGCAAAGTTTCTTTTGAGAAATCAGCTTGCAGTTTTATGGGAAGTCCCCTGTAGGTAACTAACTGCTTTTCTCTCGCTGCTTTTAAGATTCTCTTTTTACCTTTTACCTTTGTCATTTTAATTATAATGTATCTTGGAGTGGGCCTCTTTGCATTTGTCTAGTTTGGGACTCTCTGTGCTTCCGGGACTTGCATGTCTATATTTCTCACCAAATTAGGAAAGTTTTTTAAATTATTTTTTTCAAATAGATTTCCAGTTTCTTGCTCTTCCTCTTCCCCTTCTTGCACCCCTATGATGCAAATGTTGGTATACTTGAAGTTATCCTAGAGGCTCCTTATATTATTCTTGGTTTTTTATTTGGATTCTTTTTTTCTTCTTGCTGTTCTGTGTGGTTATTTTTTGCTTCCTTATGTTCCAAATCATTGATTTGATTCTCAGCTTCATCCACTCTGCTGTTAATTCCCTGTAAATTGTTCTTTATTTCAATTAGTGTATCCTTCATCTCTGACTGGGTCTTTTTTATGCTGTCGAGGTCCTCACTAAGTTCCTTGAGCATCTTATAACCAGTGTTTTGATCTCTGCATATGATTGATTGCTTATCTCCATTTTGTTTAGTTTTCTGTAGTTTTGATCTGTTCTTTTATTTGGGCCATGTTTCTTTGTCTCCTCATTTTGGCAGCCTCTCTGTATTTGTTTCTGTATATTAGGTAGAGCTGCTATGACTCCGTGTCTTGGTATCATAGCCTAATGTAGTAGGTGTCCTATGGGGTCCAGTGGCACAACCTCCCCTATCATCCAAGCTGGGTACTCGAGGTGCACCCTTCGTGTGGGCCGAGTACACCCTTCTCTTATAGTTGAGCCTCGGTTGCTGTTGGCAAGTCAATGGGAGGGATTTACCCAAGCTAATCAGCTGCGTGGACTGGCTATGACCACTGACAACCAACCTCTGCCCTCTATGGAGGATCATCTATGCAGGGGCACACTCTACAGAGCAGGACTTACTTCAGCAGGGCTCTGGTACCAGCTTGTGTTGTTTCTTGGGCCACTTGGCATATGCTATAAAGTGATCTGCAGTTAGCCGCTTCTTGTGCTAGGCCTGAAGGTGCCCTGGAGAGGCCAGGCTGTGAACTCGGGCCAGCTGCTGCTAGTGCTGGGCCTATGGCCACTTAGCAAGGTACAGAGGCTTCCTGAGGCCAGCTGCTGTTTGTTTGAGAGGATTTAAGAAGATCAGAAGCATGTGCCAAGACAAGTCATTCATATGGAAAAGCCACTGTTAACCCCTTGGGTGGGCCCGTAAGTTGGATGGGGCATATTCAGGTAATCACCAGGGTGGGGCAAACTGTGGGCCACGTCAGTGGAGTCTCGGATATGTTGTCCACTGCACCCCGTTGCCCTGTGGAAGAAGAGCTCAGAAGAGGAGCAATGGCCTCTGCCAGAAGTTCCATCTTGGAGAAAGTTGTCCCACCAGCTCTTGCCCTGATACCAGACACTTCAGTTCCCTACCAAATGCCAGTGGTGACTTTCAAGCTACTGCCCTGGCACTGGAATTCAGCGGGAGTGAGTCTGAGTAAGTCCATGTGTGGACCCTTTAAGAGGAACTGCTTGGGAATACAGCAGTTTCTTCCACTGACTCAATCTCCACTGGTTTTTACAACCAGAAGCCATGGCAACTTATCCTCCTGGCACTGGAACCCTGGGCTGGGGGTCCTGATGTGGGGCTGGGACCCCTTGTTCCCAAGATATCCCTCCTGCTTTTTATCTGCCACACATGGGTGTGGGACCAGCCCATTCTTCGTTTTTGTATCTCTGCCCCCTCTTACCAGTCTGGATAGATGTGTTTTCTTCTTTAATTCCATGGTTTCAGGACCTCCATTCAATTTCATTTCTGCTGGTTCTGAGTGATAGTTGTTCTATGGTATAGTTGTAATTTGGATGTGGTTGTACGAGCAGGTGAGCTGTGTTTACCTCGGCTGCCATCTTGGAGGTAACTTCTTGGGTGAAATCACAGCCCCAAGGTCTGGGAAGACAGTGGCACCACCAGCTTCTACATAATTCATCTCAGGGAACATGTGCCATAAGCCCAAGGCCTTTCCAGAAACCTCTGGCCCCACTGTCATTGATTTTTAAGATATATCTAAAGAATTTCTCCCTTCATAGATTGCTAGTGTCTCTCACTCTGTAGCTTGCCTTTTCACTCTTCTAATGGCATCTTCTGATGATCATAAATTCTTTATTTTAATGAAGATTAATTTCTCATTTTTTCATATTTTTTATTATTTTTTGCTTTTATGTCCATTCATATTATTAGTTTTAATATAGCAAATATAATAATTTTTTGTTACTCAACTGAAGCTTCTACAAGTTCTCATTTGAATTCTGTAGCTTTTCTATTTGGATATAATTCTTTGGACTTCTTAGAATATATATATAGAGAGCTATAATAACTTCTTTTTATTTTTAGTAAATACAATAGTTGATGTCTATACAGTTGAGCAATTAAAGGTAAAAGCCTTGAAGAATGAAGGAAAAGCTGATCCTTTTTATGGCATTCTTTATGCTTACATTTCTACACTGAACATTGATGATGACACTACAAAAGTGGTTCGAAATAGATGGTAAGCAGCCAAATTACTTTTAGCAAATTCATTCTTGTAAGAAATTAAAAAATATATTGTTAATAAATTTTAAGTTCTAAAAAAGTTTAAGCTATTCTTGGACATCACAGTGATTATATATTTAAGAGAAATGTGTATATAAATAACCTATACTGAAGTTTCCATGGCAAGCTATTTAGATTCAAAGATTGTAACTGCTTTTTAAAGCAATATTTAATTTACTGTGTTTCTGCAGTCCTAAGCTATAAAGATACAATACTACCAGAAACTTTTCTTTTCCTTTTTATTTAATTTATTGAGGTGACACTGGTTATCAAAATTATACAGGTTTCATATGCACAATTCTACAACATATCATCTGTACACTATATTGTGTGTTCATCCCCCCAAGTCAAGTCTTCATCCATCACCATTTATCTCTCCCATATTCTCCTCCACTCACCCTCCTCCTCTCCGCCACCCAGGCAGCCACCACACCGTTGTCCATGTTTGTGAGTTTTTTTTTCTTTTTTACTTAATCCCACCACCCTCCTCCAGCACCTCACTCCAGTCAGTCCCACTCCCCGCCACAGCTGTCAGTCTCCTCTCTATAAGTCTGTCCCTGCCAGAAACTTTTAACTGGAATGACAAACTGTTGTTTTATAATGTATTAGAAAATTACCTTAGTTGCTACATTCTACATTTTAAAAAATTATTTCCAACTGCATGATGAATGACTTCCAGCCACTCATAGGTCAAAATATCTACTTGCATAGAAAAGTAGACCCCAGTAGATTTAATAATCTTATTCAAAAGAAACATCTAAAATGTTATTGTGGAAATTTCTATATGGGTTTTTATGATTGAAGTTTTTATTGTGATAGTTCTAGATTAACATGGAATTTTAAGAAATAATAGAGCCCATGGACACTTTGTCCCATTTCCTATGTTGGTAACATTTTTAAAAACTATAGTATCAAATCATAGCTGTATTGACATTAATTCAATTCACTTATTTTCCCAGATTTACATACAGTCATTTGTGTGCATGTGTGTATATATGTGCGTATTAAGTTCTATATAGTTTTATCACATATGTAGGTTTGTGTACCTATCACCATAGTCAAGATAGTGACCTATGGATTTTTTTTAATCCTCACCTGAAGATATGTTTATTGATTTTTTTAGAAAGAGAGGAAGGGAGAGAGAAAAAGAACATTGATTTGAGAGGGAAACATCAATTGGTTTCCTCCAATCAGTGATCGAACACACTAGGTATGTGTCCTGACTGGGAATTGAACCCACAAAATTTTTGGCGTACAGGAAGACATTCCAACCAACAAACTGAGCCACCTGGCCAGGACTGACCTATGGATTTTTTAAGTACTTTATGATTTGGTATTAAAGTTGAAAAAAATTAATGTGGAGGTTGCTGGTAAAGCAGGTATTTTTTTGTTTGAAAAATATTTTTCACAAATTTAAATAATTTTTGTCTCATTTTTCCTACATTTTTAATATTGCTATATGAAGAAAAGTATCTAACATTTACTTTAGAAGTGATTTGTAGCTAGATAAGAGACTGCTATCCTCATCACTCCCTTCTTTTTGAGGAATTTGAATTAGTTCTTTTCAAATTGGCCAAAATAAGACCTGCTTCAAAAATATGGAATAGCATGTAATTACCACTTAAAAAGAGGTGAATCTGTCACTAGCAGAACATTTAGGGTGTGAACCTGCCCAACCCTAGGGTTTTCTGTAAGTGTACATATGACATAATACAGGACCATCAAGTGAGCATTTGTGAACCTAGACTTTCTAGGTGCAAGACACAGTGCCTGCTTTCTGAACACTGAGCCAGAGAGATAAGATGGACATACCTGCAATAACAAGGAATAGCATGTGTCAGGATATAGTTAGTGCTGAAGTAGAAGTTATGCAATTGGTCAGAGAAGGGAAGGAGTGAAGGCTGGGGTGCAGGAAAGGAAGGCCCCTGTAGGGAAATGAGCCTGGGTAGGCTCCTGCATGGTGGAAGGTAGGAAGCAGGACAGTCAGTATATCCCAGTTTCAGATAAATTGCAAATACTGAAAATGAGACTGATGTTTTATTATTCCATGTAATTTTGTATATCTGTTTTGTATCATGCACAGTGCTGAGCACTCTGAAATTACTTACTTTGATTTAGATTTTTAAGTCATAATCTTGCTAGAAAGATTTATTACTTAGGGCCGTTGCATTTTATCATTGTCCATTGTTTCTTTTCAGTTCAGGCTGTGGCTACAATGTACATGAAGCATCCAGCGTTTGTACAACTTGCAATAAAGATTCTTCGGAGTTTAATTCTGTTTTTCTCAGCTTTGATATGCTAATTGATCTTACTGATCATACAGGTACCCTCCATTCCTGTAGTCTCACAGGAAGTGTTGCTGAGGAGACTTTGGGCTGCACGGTAAATAGCAAAAAGGAAACCATGCTTAGAAATATTTCCAAATTGGGATCTCTTCCTCCAAAATATAGGTGATTTTGGTCAACATTTGATAGAAATTAATTTACTAATAAAGAGGTCTGCAAAAATCAATCTTGATTTAAACATACATTGCTATCTTTAATGAACAAGTAATTGCATATTGTACACTGAAATCACAGCTAATATTAACTATTAGGAATAATGACAGAGGTCCTGGACCATAATGGAGAATGAACAAGACATTTATATAGTCATATAACAGTGGGTAAAACAACACATTGGAGATGTTGATCGGCTACGAGGCAGCTCTTCCAGGAGGATTTGGCAATATTTCACCTACCCAGCTGTATAATGTTAGCCACGAGTGTTCTCCATCTGCACTATAGGACAGCAGCAGATACTTAGAGATTAGATTGTACACTTGATGATAAGCATTTGTTTTTTTATTGTTAAAACCAGCTTCTGACATTTACCATTAAAGCTCAGTTCCAAGTGATTTCCAGTTTGTCAAGGAGAGTTTTCGGTGCCAAGCCACCTGATTAGCTTCAAAGATTCAGTTTAAAGTAGGTCTCTGGCCTTATCTCCTCTATCAAGAGAATCAAGTGATTACTGTAAATAAAATTCCACTTTTAGTGAGCAAATTGAAATTTCACCTTGTTGTCAAGATGAGTTATATATATATATATACTTTGGAAATATTTGTTTGATTTTTTTTTTAACCAGGTAAATGAGTTTCTTGCAATGACGGATGAACAGAAAACAGCATTGAAGTGGCAATTTCTTTTGGAAAGAAGCAAAATTTATTTAAAAGTTAGTGTATTTTATGGTACTATGTTATTCTATATATTCAAACAAAATGAAGTCCTAGAGTATGACATAATAAATTAGGGAATTTGTTATTTTTAATAATGCCCAATTCTCAGATGTGCGGAAGGATCTGGCTACTGTAAAAATGATGGAAGTAATCAGGTTTTTTCATATAGCATAAAGTAGTTACAAATGACGCCAAAGAAATAGGTCAACAAAGAAAATATCCAGTAATGTTAACTCCAAGACTAGGCACCTGGCTTTAGAGTCAAGCTGGGTCTCCCCACCCCAACAACCCATGTGGCAACCCTTGAAGTGCTCTCCTCACTTCAGTGAGCAGGATACAATAGCATATCGTTAAATGCTTAGATGCTGGGATAAGACAGACTCAGGTAAGAATCCCAATTCTGCCACTCCTCAGCCTATGTGATCCTGGGGAGGTTAATTAACTTCTCTAAGCCTCTAAAATTTTGTGATCCTACAATTCTGATCCAAATCCTGCAATACTAGAAACGTTACAACGTTGGAGAATCATAGAATCTTAGTGTTAAAGATGTAAAAAGGGGAGTGAGACAAATGCCCCTTGTTTTACAAATGAGTAAAATGAGACCAAGAAGCGTTGCCACTAGACTCAAGTCAACAGGTGAGACAGGGCTACTGCCTACATTATTCCTCTCCTCTCATTGTTCTCAATTGTTTACTCCTTTACAGTCATAACAGCTGGAAGCTCTTGTTTAAGTGAGTTAAAGCTGTTCATATTTACTGTCCTAGAACTTAACATTGAGAAAAATAGAAAACATTTATGAGCATGCATTTCATTAGCTGTAGTGATATCATCCCATGTCATGTAGCCTCAAGAAAACTCCAGTGTATTCTGGTGAAAGAATGAGAATAAAAAAGGCAAATAGCATCCTAGTATTATTAGGAAAATACAGCATCCAGCAGATATAGGGCCTGCTTGAGTGTGGTTCATAGGGTAATAATACAGGTGTAATAATTGATAGTTTTAATTTGAACATTTCACCTAAAATGTCATATGGTGTGCTTGAGTGTGATATTGTTATGTTACAGAATTACATGCTTATGATTTTGTAATAAAAGATTTTGTACTAAAAATAGGGCATTATTTGTGCCAGATCCTGTAGCTGTGATCTCATGGGTACCTAGAAAGAGTCCTTGCAAATACTGCATCACTGCATCTCAGTCTCATAAGTAGGCTTTTTTATTTTCCAATGTCTTCCTTCTCTTGTGGCCTCAAGTATATCTGAATAGGTTTCAGACATGGAGTCACCAATGGCTCCGCCAATATTTCTAGGACCTTGGTTCAAAGATTCTTCATTACTAGGCTGAAAGAGGAAAGTTAGAGTAATACACTGCATCTCTTCCACCATGAGACATAAATACTGTCTATTAATAGACCTAACTACTGTCTGTTCCCAAATCATAATATACTCAAATCCTTGACCAATTTTATTTTTCTTCCAAACAGGAGATACCACTTGCTAATGAGTTTGATCAATTTAAGTATATGGCAACTTAGAGTTTTCCAACTTAACTCTAATATAACAACAAATTGCTCTCAAGTAAAGGGACATTGTACCTTTCCAAAGAATATGTTCAAAGATATTTAAGTCGGATACAAGTGATTATATCACAAAATGTAGTAAAGATCATGAGAATCAAACATAATTTCAATTGTTATAAATCAGTTAAAATAGAAGTTAATTTTTAAAATAACAACTTACATTACTCTGCTAATATGATAGAAACAAAACTATTCTATATAGATTGGACACTTTATATATTTATCATATTTCAATTAAAAACAATGGCTATTTAAAATGATTCTGTTGGAGGGATTTCAAAGTGAGGTATTCATTTTAATGTTTCAAACACATCATGTTATTAGATTTACAATATCCTTGTAAGTCCGTTATTTGTGTAAAGGAATGTTTCCAAAAAGGGTAAAATCATGACTCCCATACAAAAGTAAAATGGGCTGGTCTGAAGGTAGTGAGTTATCTCAATTTATTGTCACAAAAGGAAAATGAACACATCAAAGATTTAATGTAATTCATTAATTAATAAAGGAATCAATAAGGTGTTTTTTAAATGAGTTCAAAGGAGAATTGAAAGAATAGACACATAGTCAGACAATTCAAAATGCTGAAATGAGTTTGCTTATAGATGCAAAACTGGCCTCTTCTACAATACAAAATCACTTGCATCTTCACCCCGACCAAATTCATTTGGATTTCTATGAGCAACATTATCTGTATCACTATCAGTTTTTTGTTGTTTGTTTGTTTTTTTTTTACAACCTACAGCCAGTGCAATGAAAAGTGCAGACCATTGCAGACTCAGGCAACTTGGAAGGTGCTCTAGCCAACACCAGACCATGGAGAAGCATTCCACTGAATGCTGCCCACTTATCATGGCTGACCATTTCAAAATCTTCCATAGCGTTTCCTGGCATTAGTACAGTTTTCCTGTTAGTCTTTGAAATTAAAATGGCTAGCTAATGTGTCCTTCCACTCTATATTAAATAAAGTGTTGACGAAAGAACTTTGTTAATTGTAAAAATTAAGACATCATTATTAATAAACTTTCTCATATTCTTATGGTCTAATAGATTATGTTACTACTACAGGTTAACTTCTGTCACAACAGGTCATTTAAACATACTTTAAGCTCTTTTTTTCTACATGTTGGATTTGAAATCCCAACTTTCCTACCATGGAAAAATGACTTGGATTTTTATAAAAGCCTATTTGTAATTTCTCTTCTGAACTCTGACCAAAACTTGAACTCTTTTTCAATTTAGAGTTTTAATTGACATGTTAACATCTGTAAGCAAAACTCATTGTCTATTACCTTCTCTGTTCTGATCATTGGCTTTCAGTTTTGTACACATGGTGATTTTTATAACTAACTCATTCTCTCTTTTTCTCCCTACAGTTTTTTTTATCAGACAGAGCAAGGGGTGGATTGAGGATTAGTGTGCTCTCATGTAAGCTTGCAGATCCTATTGAGGCAAGTAGGAACTTGTCTGGACAAGGAGATATTTAAACCACATGTCATTGTAAACTCTGGAAAAGAATACGAGTTTTAACTGCCCTTAAAGTGGAAAATAAGTTTGAAAACTAAGGATAAAATTGTATTTTGTTCAAATGTGGTAAAAATGTTTTTATAAATTGTTATGTTTCTTCTTGGTGTTGATTTGGGGGTAAGCCTTAAATATCTATCTCACCCGAGCTCAATTCTTAGGCCCTTTCTACTGGCTTTGCCCTCTTTCTTCCCAAGTTGGAAAATGTTTGTGTGAATAATAAACAAATTTAACCTTTCTCACAGGTTGATTTTTTTGTTAAGCCCTTTTCCTCTTTGTCCTATTTCTCTGTGAAAGATCAGAGAGCCTGGCAATGGCTCGTTCTGCTGCCCTGGGGCTGAAAGGGCCCAACAAGAGGCTCTCTCAGCACCAGGTGGGAACAGCAGAGGTCTGTAGGCAATGTTGTGCAACTGCTTTGAACACCCTAGAGTTTTGTGAATCCCTTGCCTTCTCTGGTGATATCTAATGCATTGAAGCTATCCAGTGCTTTTGAAGACTTGCTGACTCAGGGCTGACGTTTATGAGCCTAAATCAACTGGGAGGGAACCAACTTCAAAAATTATATGAGTGATGCCAAGTCTCAGGAACTTGGAACGGTGGGGGGTCTGCTTGGACAGAAGGACAATAGCCTCCCTTCTACCTCAGTCATCCTTGCAGGAGACTCAGAACACTCTCCTCAGCTCCACACCATTCTGAGTTACTTGCTTCAGGGCACAGATCCACCAACACGGTCAGCATTGAGCCATAGTCTGGGAGGTTTGGCCAACATGATTTAGATCTGGCACTTCAGAAGGTTACACTTCACCCACCGCAGGAGTAAATTAAAAAAAGTATATGAAACTCTTTTATAAAGCTGGTGCTGGGAGATAAACTTGTCAATAATGTTTTCTCTGGCTTTTACCATAGGCAGCCATGGAGGAAGAATATGAGTGGATCTTTAGTGTGTCCAAATTGTGGTTGTAAGCAAGGTAATGAAGGATTTGACCTGTGCAAACAGCAAGTGTGCCCAGTGAAAAGCTTAGTTTCTTTCTCCCTTGGGTTGTGGAATGGGTGTGTTAAGCAAGGTGAATTGGGAGCATGGACAGGGAAGGGAGGAGGGAAAGTGGCAGAGGGTGGAGGATGATGCCCTTCCCACTGGGAGCAGGGATGGGGAGGCGAGAGAAGCAAGGGCACCTGCTGGCAGCCACATTCACACCTTCTGTTAGTTAAGCAAGAGTGCGTGTTCAAGAGTGCAGGAGACGAGGAAGGATGCCTGGCCCAGATGGTGTGCAAGGAGCTGCTGAGCCAGGCCTCCTGGGGCCCTTACCTCTAGCAACAGGTCTCAGAGTACGAATGCTTGGGCTAAGGGTGCCAGAACCAACTAGGCTCCTACAGTCCCTGGGTCTCAGCCACTCTGGCTCTTCTACCACTAGCTTTAACTGCATAATACAGGTGCGTGATACAGGCACCTTTGAAATAGGTACATATGCAGTAATCAGTGTTCTCCAACCATAGAGCCCTAGTGGGCTGGCAGAGGGTTCTGGCTGACCTTCTTACTCCTACCCTGCTGACCTCTCAGTGTGATATTTAACTGGTAGGAAGTGCCTTGCCTGTCACCGTAAGGACACCCAATTGCTTATTTCATCTGATGACACAGGAATCTATAGGGGTAAGGTGTCAGGCCACATTGAATCAGAGAGGCTGATTCCAAGTCTAAATTACGCATTTAAGAAATGAAGATTACAAATTGATTTAAATATAAAATTTGGTTGTAGATTAGTCAAAATGCAGGCACTCAAAGAAGTAAAAAAAAAACAAAACAAAACATTCTAACCCACCTCCCCATCAACACAAAGTATACAATGCCCCATGACCTGACTGGTGTGGCTCAGTGGGCTGGGTGTCGACCTGCAAACTGAAAGGTCACCAGTTTGATCCCCAGTCAAGGCACATGGCTCAGTTGCAGGCCAGGTCCTTGGTTAGGGGCATGTGAGAGGCAACCAATTGATGTTTCTCTCACACATCCATGTTTCTCTCCCTTTCTTCCTCCCTTTCCCACTCTCTAAAAAAAATAAATAAATAGCCCTGGCTAGTGTGACTCAGTGGACTGAGTGCTGGCCTGTGAACCAAAGGGTCACTGGTTCAATTCCCAGGCAGGGCACATGCCTGGGTTGCGGGCCAGGTCCCCAGTGAGGAGCACGTAAGAGGCAACCACATGCTGATATTCCTTTCCCTCTCCCTCCCTCTCTTCTCTCTAAAAATAAAATCTTAATTAATTAAAAAATACAAAATATACAACCCCCAGTCTGGGATCTCCATTTCCCTACTATTCTCTGGGAGCTGTTTTTCCTGGTCCTAGTGGATTTAGATATACAATTTTTATACTGCTTTATATAAATAGTTTGGTGATATATAATTTTTCATAATCTTCTATTAGTAGTTCATTTCAATATTATTTTCCTTTCCTAATTCTGCTTTGGTGAGTTTTGTCATTCAATATGGTGCACGAGGCAGAAACATTTTATATATATATATCATCATTAACTTTGAGAAACCCTGGGGTTGTTTTTAAATATTTTAATTATAAAATATTTCACGTTCACTGTAGAAAAATTAGAAAATATTTGATAACAAATAAAAAGGAGAGCCCATAATTTCCCATCTCAGATTTCTTGGATATGTTTTTGTTGTTGTTTTGTGTTTTTTTTAATTTTAGAAAAATGTACAGCATATATAATTTACCATTTTAACTATATTTAAGTGTACATTTGGGTGGCATTAAGTACATTCACCATGTTGTGCAACCATCACCTCTACTTCTAGAACTTTTTCATCATTCCAAATTGAAACTCTGTGCCTATTAGATAACTCATTTCCACTCCTCCAGTCCCTGGTAACCTCTAGTTTACTTCATCTCTATGAGGATTCTCTACTGACTAGTCCATATACTTTATGTAATTGGAATCATGCAATAAAGGTGTTTGTCCTTTTGTGTCTGGCTTATTTCTTTTAGCATAATGTTTTCGAGGTTCATCCATTTTATAGTATGTGTCGGAATTTCATTCCTTCTTATGACTGAGTACTATTCCATTGTATGCATGGACCACCTTTCGTTTATCCATTCATCTGTTAATGGACATTTGGGCTGTTTCTACCTTTTGGCTATTGTGATTGGCCATCATAGCTGCTATGAATGTGTATGTACGAGCATCCCACACTTATTTGTGTCCTTCCTTACTATCATCTATCTATCCATCTTTCTGTGGTAAAATACACAATTTACAAATACAGATTACACTATAATCTGCTTTTACATTTAATTTGCAACCGACTTTTTCACATCATTAAACAATCCACATAACTTTAATGGCTGCATGTCATTATATAAGTATAGGATAGTGAATATTATCAATCCGATATTATTACAGAATTAAGATGTCTCCCACTTTTTGCTATTATAAATAACAGCTGTAGCTAAATTTTTGTCCACATTTTTATTTCCTTGGTATATGTTTCTAGACATTAATAGCTAACTTTATTAAATGCTTTTTATGTGGCAGACATTGTAATAAGCACTTTACTTATAGTAAACTATAAAGTAAACTATATGTCTGTTTACTTACAGACACTTCTGATTGCTCTAAGAACTGCTAGTTTGCCCATTGAACAGGTGGGATGTGACGGCCCAGCTAGAGGAGGTAGAACCGAAGATGGTTACATGGGCAGGCTCTGTGGCTGCAAGCCCAAACCCATCTGCTGCTCCCAGAATGGCCTCCAGCTCTCAGCTTCTTCCTTTGCAGTTTTCCTTTTGTTTATGGTGATAACAATACCAACTCCTCTTGGCAACTGTGAAGACTGAATAAGTTAATATATGTAAAGTGCTTAGACTCCTGCATTTAGTCCATGATCAATAATTATCAGTTACTGTAATTGCTGAGGTATAGCAGTTTCATTGGCACTCATATTTGGCTCTTAATATTTTTGTTGTATGCCTGGCTGGTGTGGCTTAGTGAACTGAGCACCAGCCTGCGAACCAAAGGGTCACTGGTTCGATTCCCAGTCATGGCACATACCTGGGTTGCAGGCCAGGTCCCCAGGAGGGGGGACGCGAGAGGCAACCACACATTGATGTTTCTCTCCCTCTCTCCCTCCTTCCCCTCTCTCTAAAAATAAATAAATAAAATCTTTTAAAAAAACCTTTAAAAAAAGTCTTTCTTTAAAAAAATTTTTTGTTGTATGAATTCTATTCTGCTTTTATAGTTTGAATTTTCAAATACATTATTACATATATAATTACTGTTTCTCTTTAAAATATATGGCTTTACCATATTTGAATTAATTGTATTGAAAATAAACATAAAACCCGAAACCAAAGATGCTACACCAACATTTATACCACATGTGTCCAGTAGTCTTGTTAAAAAAAAATAAGTGGGTATAAACATATGAAAAGATGTCAGCTTTACTACTAAGGGAATGCAAATTAAAATGACCATAACTGGATACTCAGTGTTGGCTAGGGTGTGCCTAAAAGGTATTCTTAAACACTCTTGTCAAGTACAAATTAGCATATTTCCCTCCACAATTTGGCAAAAAAAAAAAATTAAAATTGTAGGGGCCAAACCATTAATTTCACTTCTAATATTTTCCCTAAGGAAACAAATGCCAAATGATGTGTGCGGAGGATGTTCCTTACATCATTGCTTCTGATAGAAAAACACCTGAAACCTATGTAACCTACTTGGGAATGTTGGGCCCCATCCAGATCTCCTTTACATACATGATGTCTGTCCAGAAAACGTCCAGCCATTGTTAATATAACGAGAATGGTTTACACAACATCGATGTAACCTGGCAGCCAAGAAAAATGGACTGAAATGTGCATGCGTGAGCAATGATGCCTTCGCTGTACTAGTCAGTGGGGGCAGTAGATGCCATTGAGTAAACATGTGCACTGTCACATTCAAAGTGAGTAGAGCAACAA